AGCTAGATAAATTCATGGAAGTTAGGTTCATAAAAGGCTATTAGCCAGGGGGTAAGAAATGGTGCCCTGACCTCTGTTTGTCAAAGGCTGGAGAGGGATGGCAGGAGACAAATCGCTTGATCATTATCTTCGGTCCACCCCTTATGGGGCACCTGGCGCTGGCCACTGTTGGCAGACAGGCTACTGGGCTAGATGGACCTTTGGTCTGACCCAGTCTGGCCATTCTTATGTAATAAGAGCACGCAGCGCATGTGAACAGTGTTTGTTCTGCTTTAAATTCCCTCCCTACCTTAGTCTGAATTAATTTCATGGTGCAGACAAACTGTAAATCGCTACTGCAGAAGTCTAAAAGGATTATCCAAGCTAATCCTGGAAGTGGAGAACGATTGCTTTGTTCTTATAATTTCCAACAAAGTGTTTGTGGCACAAGACCGCAGGAGAAAAACGAAGTGAGACAAAATCCCAACCTTTTTAAAAAAAAAAAAGTGCACAAAACATGTGAAGAGCTGCAGCTGAATTAAGTGAAAACAAGAGATTGAGAGAAGGTAACATGTAGAGGCCTGCAATGGCCATTCTAAATCACCTGTAGGTGGAGAGATGCAAGACAGTGGATCTCTGTTATTTCTGAGGTGTGGAACTACATGTAAATAGGGATTGCGTGCCTTCCTGTCGCTGACTCTGCGTCACGTTCCTGCCCACCTGTAACTAGGTCACCGATTTATGGCAACACAGTAATTGCTTACACCGAATCCAATGCTAAGAAAATAGATGGGTACTCATTCCCCTTGTTAGAGGTAGTATCAGTTCCAATAATTTACACAAAGTGAAATAAATGCAGGAGACTGCCAGAACCAGTAATAGTGCTAAACCTGGAATGAATTAACTGCACCTGCTATGTGCTTGTATTTTTATGCCTTTTTTAATACACTTCAGCAGCTGAAAGCAAGGAAAGATGGAACATGTGAGTGACTCATCAGCTCTTGTGTCTTTGCAGATAGGAAGGGACCGGTTTCAGGGGGGAGTGATTTCATGCAACATGGCCCTAGGCTGACCTTGTATGGCAAAGCATCTGCTGAGTCTGGCTCAGACCATATGCCCTTCATCAGGCCTTTCCTTCTGTCTCCAGGGGACTGATTTCATTGGTCGGGATGCACTGATGCAGCAGAAGCAGGAGGGCGTGTGCAAGCGCTTCACCATGTTCATCCTGGAGGACCATGATACAGACCTTGATCTCTGGCCCTGGTGGGGGGAGCCCATTTACCGCAATGGCCTCTACGTGGGCAAGACCACCAGTAGCGCCTATAGCTACACCCTGGAACGCCACGTCTGCCTGGGCTTTGTGCAGCACTTTGACGAGGAAACCAGGGAAGCGCTGGTGGTGACACCTGACTTCATCAACCGGGGCGAGTATGAGATTGACATTGCTGGGCAGCGCTTCCAGGCCAAGGCCAAGCTCTACCCCTTCAGCTCGGTCTTCACACACCGCCGCCGCAAGGACGAGATGGAACTGAGTGGGTACCATGGGAAGTAGAACCACCTGCCCCCTCCCACCATCCTCCTCGCCTTCCCCACCATCTCCCTTATTCTTCAGCGCCTGTGATCCCGCCGCCTTCTCCCTCCTGCTCTTTCCATTGTTAAACCTTTTGCTGCGTTGCACTTTGGACGTCATAGAACTAACTTTTCAGACTTTTCCAACCCCTCACCTAGTCTCCCTCCCTTCCCGTGCCGTGCTCCCACATCTCCCTTCTTCAGAGGCAGCAGCATGGAGTTGAGTATCCGTCGAAAGCCCATGGTCCTCAAACCCTAGGTTGTGACTCAGTAGCTATTGAGAGGGGTTCAGCTGATGTCTCGAGGACTGTACCCTTCTGATCCCCCTCCTGCCTAAGGCCTAGACCAGTCGGCTCTGGCTTCCTGTCTCCTGGCTAACCCCTTTAGTGTGACCTCACCTGCTGGTTGCAGGGGAGCAGGTACACCTGCAATAAAGCACACAGCCAGCGTAGGGGGCTCCTTCTTGCCAGCCAGTTCCACAGGTCAGAGATGCACAGGACAATAGAATGATCAGCTACCTCACAGGCGCCATGCGAGGCATAACAACAGGCAGGTTTTGGTGGGTTCCACGCTATTGCTGCCTTCCTCTCTCCTTCCCAGGAAGTGAGGTTTGATCATGAGGCTGTGGAAATGACAGACATAGGGCAGGTAAGTTTCCTGCTCTGTGTTGGCCCACTGAGAGGGAATGATTTTCTCTGCGTACGTGAAGATCCCCACGTGCACTTCACTCCTACAAAAGGACATTGTTTCTGTCTGTCCTTTCCTGCTCAGAGACAATATCCATCTCCAGAAAGGGCCGAGACGTTCTAGACTCTTCACCATTTCTGGCACTGCTGCAGTGCTGCTCTTGTTTCAGCTGCACGGTGTACAGTCTCCTCCTCCTGTGGATTTTCCTCCTTTGTTGGCGTGAGCTCTCTGCTGGCTTACACGCCAAGCATTGGAGTTTGGTATGAGGTTGGTGTGTGTGTGTGTGTGTGTGTCTTGGAAAGTAGCACAGAGCAAGGGACGAAGTCTTGCATTTTCAGCTGGCGAGGGCGGGCAGCAGCCTTGGGGCTGGAGTTTGGAGTTGAGGGCCCAAGTTTGGTTCCTTGAACTCTGGTGCTCTGGGCACTGCAGAGGCTCCTGGTAAGGAAGGCAGTGTGTATCAGCTATGCTTCCTGGCCCTGCCTTCTCAGCAGCTCTCGCATTTCTGTCTTCTCCATCTCAGTAATGCCTTGGTTGAAGGTAGCGATGCACTATGCAAGGCCTGAGGTTAGAAGAGAAAGTGAGTAAGGATCTCTGAATTGTCTTGCCTCTGCAAAATCTCTCCATGCAGCCATCATAGACACTCCGGACTACTCTGAGGCTGACAACTCTGCAGTGATTCCTAACAGGGTGGAATGGGGAAGAAAGTGGATGAAAAATGAAAAATTGTATCCTGTGGGTTTGTCTCTCCAAATCTTCCTCCTCCGTTTGTGAGCTGGATCAGGGTAATGCATTTTCTCTTCCCTTATTTTAAAATTACCCATTAAAAAATCTCTGGTAACTTCTCCCTACACACACACTTTTGGTTCCCCACTCTGGGTTTCTCCCTCCCACTGGAGCCAGTGTCTTTCCATCTAGCACTGACGTGTGTTCACTGAGCTGACTGAATTGTTTGTGAGCCAGAAGCGAGAACTTCACCTTCACAGCCAGCTGAGGGGGTTTCTAGCACTTGCTGTTCCCAGCATTGGGTGAGCATCAGTAATGTTACCTGTGAGCCCAGTGCTACTCGAGACCTGTCTGGCTTCCATCCAGTCTTTGTCCTGCTGTGGTGGAAAGTGTTCGAGTCAAGCCGCCTCCTTGGTAGATTTTATTTTTCCTTGATGCTGCTGAAAAATAATTTGACTTGGGCAGCTTGAGTGTTTTACATAGCTGGAATTGCATACCTTAAGCCAGCCTTCAGCTGTCCTGTAGAGCTGGCCTATGAAGAGTTGTCCTGTTCAGTTTCAGTGGTGCTAACTCTTTGAAGTGAGGAATAACAGTGGTAACAGGTTCTGCGCAGGGGAGCACTCACCTGGGGCCTCTGTGCAAACAGTAAGCATTTGCAGTGGGATGACCACTAACAGGAGACATGTTTTCAGAGCCATTTGCTTGCTTGCTTTCCTAAGCCAATTAAGTGTGCCTGTAGTGATACGGTCAAAAAAATTTCTTGCTATAAACTTGTCAAACCTTAGCGACAAAAAACAGCCTCCAGAGCATAGCTCTGGGAGCTCGTCTGGCTAGCCTAACTTTCAGCAGTGTCTCTGGCCACGGTTAGAATAGTGGCAATACTCTGGATCGGAACTGGTTTCCTGCCCTGCTTCCCTTCACACTCCCAATCTGTACTACTTGCCCTCCTCACTGTTTAGCTTGGACTCTGAGAGCGTACCAGCTTCCCTGAGGAACTGCCGGCCTGTGTCGGGCTAATGGTTCTTTCTGGCCTTGAACTCTGTGAATCTGAGCTTGCAGTCAGGCTCCAGATGCTGCAGTTGGCTTAGCACGGACCCAGGGATCCACCTGCATGGAATCAGTGGTGCGGTCTGGGCTCTGAACTAGACCGAGCAGTACAAGTGTGTAGTGCAGCAATGGGCTTCTCTCCAAGTGGCGCCAACACGTACATACAGCGATAGCTGGGAACCACCACTTTTTCTGCTTTTCGCATCACGACAGCAACCGGCTTCACACAGTGTATTTGAATAGGGACTTCTGCATTGAAACATATTAGACTTGTGCTCTTATTTAACATCGCTGGTAGACAGAGGAGAGAGATTTTAAAAATGGTGGGGTGGGGGGTTACATTAGAAATTCAGGTTCTGTGTAGCCTGGAAGACTCTAAGGACGAGAGAACAAATAAAATCTTGGTATCCCAGGAGACCAAAAGCTGTGCTGTTGAGAGAAGAAAGGATTTTAGTCAGATTGTTTAAATCTGGTTCTGAGAGCACCTTTAACTCCAATAATGAATAAACGTTTTAGAGTAAGGACTTATCTGTTAAAGATTCACCACCATTTCTTCTGTCACTGAGAGCTTTCAGTATACATCCCAGCAAAACCAGACAGTGAAGGCTCGCATTTGAGGTCATGAAATTGAAAAGAATGTCAATTTCACTGCTGGTAGGTGCAGTGCTGTGAAATTGCGCCTAGAGATGGGCTGCCAGTTGGGTTTGGGACCCGCTCTGAACTCTGCCAGGGTCTACCAGCCATGAAATTGACATTCTTGTCAATTTCATGACTCCAGTTGTGAGTTCCTGTGGCTAACAGTGCACAACAGGGATGTAAGGAATGTGTGTCTACATGGACACTGTGTTGCTCTAACTACACTAACATAAGCCCTATGCCTCTCATGAAGGGGGAGATATGTCAGCGTAGCAAGCCACCTACTTTGGTTGAAGCAACATTCTGGTGTAGACAGTGACCTAATTAGGTCAGTTTGTCAACCAAACTGTAGTGTAGACTAACCCTTAGTGTATATGGATGTCCCAGTGGAAGAGGAAATTATCATTACATGCCACCTGTTTCTGGATAGTGTTTCTGCTAAACATTGTAACAAGTTCACAGCAGGGTCTGGTGGGAAGAGCCACTAATGGTACTTCTGCAGGATCTGACTCCAGAGCTCCATCATGAGGCCACTTACAGAAGATTGTGTTGCTCTTGGCTCACCTGGACTCCTTGTCAGGCCTCAGCAGGGCTGAGCTCCCACTCCATTTTGCTGGGTTTCTGGTGAGTTCCCCTGTCACCTGGGCTAGGCTGCTCCTCTGCTCTTGGCTGGGTCCCTCTGGTCCCAGGCTGCTGCAGAGCAGTTGCTCCCCTGAATCAAATGGCTATATTGCTGTTGCTGCCGGCTTGTTTCCTTTCCTCTCAGACAGGCAGAGGAACTGCATTGGTAGCAGTGTAGAAACTGGCTCAGTCAGAACAGTGGTTGCAGCTAGGAGAGATTCCCGGGGCCATAGCAGTGGCGAAGCACTTCCCAAGCTTTTCTGGCAAATGAGTGCTTATGATGGAGGCAGACACCCTGGGAAAGGTCCTCGCTTTCTCAGACGGCTTGGTAAACATTGTCAGGGTGGCGTGTAGCTTGTTAGCTTACCTGTGTGTTAAATGTTGTCCCGCTGACACTGGTGGAAATGTCTGTCCTATCCTCCTCTTCCTCCTTCCATGCACCATCTGTCTCCCCTCTGGCTTATTCCTCTTGGCCTTCAAGCTGTACCACTGTTTCCCCTGTCCTGAAGAATCCCACCTCTGGCTCCATTTCCTTCTGATTACCCTGGCATCTCCCCTTCATCTGTAATCTTCTCCAGGGGTCTGCTGGGTTCAATCTTCTCTCCTACTGTTGCCTCTTCGACCCTTCCCTTGTGGGCTTCCATTCTTTCCACTCCACTGAATCTACCCCACAAAAGGAAACATCATATGGAAAAAATTCATGGTCCCTTCATAATGCTTCTCTCCATCCATAACACACATCTGTGTGGTTCGTGCTTCTGTGGACACTTCCTTCCCTAGGTTTTTAGGGTTATTCCTTGGTGCACTGCAGAGCTGGCAGCTCTTTCAGATTCCCTTTGGAGCCCTCTTCACTCCAGGACATTAAGTTGAACATGAAAAACTTGGTACAGTTCTAGTCCTGGGTGAGCACGGTCCATGTTGCATTTGGGGGCGGAATACTTCCCAAGATTGTTAGTGTCTTGGTGCTTTACATTAATTGTTTGTGCATCAGCCATGCATACTGCTTGATTGGTTACTGCGTAATTACCCATGCCGAGCAGACACGCCATCGCTGGCTCTGCAGCAAACGCAGAAGGCAAGGGAGGTTGCCAGAGTGCTTCTGTTCCTCTTCCTTTGCTGCAAAGACTAAAACCGCACAGAAGTGGCGTGGGAACTGAAATCAATAGGGAAACACACAGATACAGGATTTCCCATTTGAGCCGCTGGCGGCACTTGCAAGAGTGGAATTGTGCTGTTAAGGGGAACAGAAAAACACCATTGGATCTGTCGTTAAAACGCATCCACGGCAGTAGAACGTGTTTCATGGCAGAGCCTTGTTGCTTTCCAGCTCTTGGAAAACAAAATGACATCTGAATGCTGCATTACAGTAGGGCTTAGGGTTTCAACACCAAGCCACGACATTCAGCGATCAAGGCTTTCAGAGCATTGTGAATTTCACCATCTTGCTCTTTGTTTGTGCAGGCAACTTCTGGTTTCTTGATTCCTGTATATTTAAATACTTCACTTTATTATGTTACTGATGCGTAGACTTGAATTGGAGTTGCAATGTAAAGTCTGCAGCATTTAGATCAGAGTTACTATCTAAGATTCACCCGAGAAGGTACATTCAGGAAGGGAGATCAGGAGGGTTTTGGAGAGACATTCATGGTTTTGTATGAACAGCTTCCCGATCAAATGATTAAGAAAACTGATCTTGCCATGTGTATGTTTGATGCCCACCTCGAGTACAAATGCAGTGGTTCTCCAGGAGCTGCACGTACTCATACAGCTTAGTTCTGTGTTATAGCATAGAAGGGACAGTCCCAGGCGCTTGCACCTCTAAGCGACATGGTCAAGATCCTCTTTGTGCTATGAAATGTTTTTAGTGTGGTGGGAGCCAACTAGAGCCCCTTGAACAGACCAAAGTCTGACTCTCTTGTCTTGATTGCAGTAACACCTTTGACTCTACTAAAAGTCAAAGAGCCTAAAACTGACTGGCTCTGTAAGCTGTTCTTATGGCTCCAGAGACACTTTAATAGAGATCTGGTTCCATGCGATTGTCTGAGGGAGTAATGATGCAAGCCCTGCATGAGGGAGGCAAACTCCCGACATTGAGGATAGATTGCTGTAGACTAGCTCCCAGGGAGGCCATTTTCTCCTTTCCATAGCATGGGATGGTTTGCTGGCAGCTCTCCCTCCAGAACAAGGTGTTTGCTATCAGATATGCTAATGGACTCTCCCAAACAACGGTCCGGTCCAGTCCGTGTGAAATGTTTGTGTGTGAACTCCCTTGCCAGGTGAAGTTATTGACTGGATCATCGGGTTTGCAAGTGGGCTGGCTGCTTTTTGCCTGCTCCTTACTGCCAGTGCTGGGGAATGCTCTGTTACGGCCTGTGCTGGTACTCAGCACTGTTTCTCCGGGGTGCTGTGCTGGGCAGTGCTGAGAGGCACTTCTGCTCTCCTGGCCTCACTCCAGAGTTGCACCAAGCCTGACTGTTCTTTCCAGAGCAAACTGCCACCTCAGAGCTGCACCCAATTAGACACTCTCCTTTGGAGGACTCTTATGTTCATTCTCAGCAGCACTTTGTTTCCCCATCGAAATGTCATCCTTAACCATCTTCTCCTCAAGAGTCAAATGTATAGGGCTGGGAGAGCAGTTTTAACACTTGCCAGCGATTCTCCTGCAGACCTGGAGTTGGAGAGTTAAGCTGTGAAAACGTGTATAATCTCACCATTTTCTAGTGCCTTACACTTATGAATGTTGTGTAATGGATGCAGGTAATGCAGGACAAAGCCACAATCCACCACGTTAACGTGAGGGCTCAGCCATTACAACCCACCTCCTCTCCCCTTCCAAAGAGACTGTGTGTGTGCAGATGGATCATTCCTAGGAGTACAAATGCTTTGAACTCTCGGGATGTAGAAAATCTCAGTGCTACTGTACGCTGTTGAACCGCACTGCCTGCCTTTGTGGAGAGCAGCGGCCTCCCCTCTGACAGCATTTAGAATTAGAACATGTTTGTGGAGACACACGAGCCCCTTTCGTAATTGGAGCAGTTCTGGGAGACCGGACTGACTGCTCCAAAGTGCACAAGAAAATGTGGCCATGCTGTTCTCCATGGATGCTACATGATCTACTTTCTATGCTGTATTTCTATCATGCTGTGTTCAGTTACTGACTTCTCTCCTTGTTGGTTTAAAGGTTATTAGGTTTGTATATCAATAAAGAGACATTTAAACTACTCTTGCACAGAATTCCAGGGGCCATTGTTTGCACGTGAAGCCTAAAGCCTATGTGTTTTCACTATTTCCTAACCAGTTGTGTGTGTAGCTGGAATGAGGGAGCATTTGGCATCATTCACTTAGGGGAACAGGGGAATGTCAAAACAACCTGATCTCATTCTTTAGGATAATAAGCTTTGTGGTTGAGGAAGCAGTAGGTGTGGTACATCTAGACTGCAGTAAAGCATTTAAAATAGTAATAGAAATGTAGCCGTGTTAGTCTGGTCTAGCTGAAACAAAAAACAGGACAGTGTAGCACTTTAAAACTAACAAGATGGTTTAATAGGTGATGAGCTTTCGTGGGCCAGACCCACTTCCTCAGATCAAATAGTGGAAGAAAATTGGCATGACCCTATTTACCAAAGGATATGTGTGTATGTTCATTTTTTTATTGTACCCTATGGTATATAGGGTCGTGCCAATTTTCTTCCACTATTTGATCTGAGGAAGTGGGTCTGGCCCACGGAAGCTCCTCACCTAATAAAGCATTTAAGATAGTCTTGCACGGCTATCTTCTCAATAAATTAAATACAGTGTAGATGGGGCTACTCTAAGGTTGATGCTAACTGGTTGGAAAAGTGTTCTCGGAAAGTAGTTAACAGTGGTTCACAATCGGGCTGGAAGGGCATAACGAGTGGGATTCCATAGAGGTCCGTTTTGGGACTAGTTGTGTTAAATATCTTATGAAGAATTTAGACGATGGCATCGAAAGTACACTTTTATAAAGATTGAAGATGATCCCAGGCTGGGAGGGGTGGCAAAATGATCTGGACAAACTGAAGAAATGGTCTGAGGCGAATAGGATGAAGTTCAATAAGGATAAATGCAAAGTTTCACAGGTACAAAATAGGAAGTGGTTAACTAGGAAAGGAGTACTGCAGAAAAGGATCTAGGGGTCCTAGTGGACCATAAACTAAATATGAGTCCACAGTATAACTGTGTGAAAAAAGCCAACACCGTTCTGGGATGCATTACCTGGAGTATTGTAAGGAAGACACAGGAAGCAATTCTTCTGCCCTTCTCTGCACTGATTAGACCTCAACTGGAGTATTGTGTCCAGTTCTGGGTATCAATTTCAGGGAAGATGTGGACAAATTGGAGGAAGTCTAGCAAAGAGTCACAAAAATGATGCAAGGTCTAGACAACACGACTTACAAGGGGAGAGTGAATTGTGTGTGTTTAGTTTAGAAAGGAGAAGACTGACAGGGACATGTGATTGGGGGCACCTTGGCCCTGCACTGTAGCCCAGAATGTGGGCTGGGCCCAGCTGGCCGAAAACGCCCTTCCCCCACAGCCTTGCTGGGCATGCTCACAGGTGAGCTGGAGTATAAAAGGCCCTGAGGCAATTCGCTCAGGGCTGACGGCTGAAGGGGCAGGACCTGCTGAGCCAGCTCCAGAGCCGGAGGAGCAGACGCAGCCGGAGCCGATGCAGCAGCGACGGCCCTGGAGACAGCCTGGTGGTACAGCGACAGGGAGGCATGCGGGGTCATAGGAAGTGGCCCAGGGTGAGGAATTGCAACCCAAGTGCTCAGCGGGTTGTGGGGAGAGAACCCCTGCTGAGTGAGCAGTGGACCAAGCCACTGCTCATAGGGCCCGGGTCCCCCTCCCTCTACAGTGCTCCTAGGCAGAGGTAGTTCCGGGAGCCTGTGGTCTGTATTTACCCCGATAGAGGGAAGCATTGCAAGGACTAGGCTCCAGGGCTGTATTTACCCCAGAAGGGGGGCGTACTGCACAGATTTGCAAGGACTAGGCTCCAGGGCTGTTTTTACCCCAGAAGGGGGGCGTACTGCACAGACTGGGCTGCAGGGCCATGTTGACCTGGATAGAGGGGCACCCCAAAGACTAGGCCTCAGGGCTGTATTGACCCTGATAGAGGAGCGCTACAAGGACTAGGCCTCCGGGCCGTATTTCTCCTGATAGAGGGAAGTACTCCAAAGACTGGGCTGCAAGGCTGTACTGACCCTGATAGAGGGGCACCACAAGGACTCGGCCTTCAGGCCGTATTTATCCAACAGAAGAGAGTGCCGCAAGAACTGGGCCCCAGTGCCGTATTTACCCCAATAGAGGGGAGTGGCACTAAGATGGGGCCTCTGGACTGTAGTGACCCCGGCAAGGGAGGAGCGCCATTAACCCCATAAGAGGGAGATCTGGGACTCAGACTCTGGCCATTGGGCCGTCCAGAGCTCGGTAAGTGGACCCGTGGGGGGATTTTGGCTGTGGGAGTCTGCTCGAGGGGAGCCTGCCCTCAACAAGGACACTACCGCTTTCAAGTACCTAAAAGGGTGTTGCAAGCAGGTGAGAGGAAAAATTCCTTCACCTCTGACAGGACAAGAAGCGATGGGCTTAAACTGCAGCAAGGGAGGTTTAGGTTGGACAGTAGGAAAAAATCTTCCTGTCAGTGTGGTTAAACACTGGAATAAATTCTTGGGAGATTTTGGAATATCCATTATGGGAAATATTTAAGAGCGGGTAGATATTAGGGAACATCTAGAGGTGCTTGGTCCTGCCGTGAGGGCAGGGACTGGACTCGATGATCTCTCAAGGTCCCTTCCAGTTCCGGTATTCTGAGTGACAGGCGGGGGGAGAATGGCGGGAGGGGTTGCACTGTATGTAAGAGAGCAGAAAGTTTGCGCCAAGCTCCAGTATGAAACTGGAAAAAAGCCTGTTGAGTCTTTGGGTTAAGATTAGAGGCGAGAGCAACAAAAGCGACGTCCTGGCGGGTGTCTGTCGATCACCGGACCGGGAGGGTGAGGTAGATCAGGCGATCTTTGGACAACTAACAGATGTTTCCAGATCACAGGCCCTGGTTCTCCTGGGGAGCTTCAGTCGCCCTGACTTGCTGCAGAGCAACCAGGCCGTGTACCGACAGTCCAGGATGTCTTGGTGAGTGTTGGGGACAACTTCCTGGTGCAAGTGCTGGCACAGCAAGCCAGGGGCCGTCTCCTCTTGGCCTGCTGCTCGCAAACAGGGAAGAACTGCTAGAGGAAGTAGAAGTGGCAAGCTGGGCATGAGTTGACCCTAAGATGGTCTAGTTCAGGACCCTGACCAAAGGAAGAGAGGAGAGCAGCAGAATACACGCCCTGGACGTCCAACAATCAGAGTTTGACTCCCTCAGGGAACTGATGGGCAGGGTCCCTTGGGAAGCTAGTGTGATTGGAGAGGAGTCCAGGAGAGCTGGTTGTATTTTACAGATGCCTTAGCGAGAGTGCAGGAACAAACCATCCCGCCGAGCGGAAAGGCTAGCAAAGACGAGAGGATGAGATGCAAGGGGCCTAAACTGCAGCAAGGGGGGTTTGGACATTAGGAAAAATGTCCTACCCGTCAGGGTGGTGAATCACTGGAATAAACTCCCCAGGGCGTTAGTGTGACTCAGAGCCTTCAGTTTTAGGCAGAAAGCTCCATGCATATAAGTGCAGCTGCGGGGCTCCACTTCCCCGGCTTCCGCCGCCACTGGTGGCCCCTGCTGCCCCTGCTACGCTCCCCCCGTTAATGCGCTAAGCCCCTCCTCGACCCTGAGGGCCTCCCAAAGCTCGGGGCTTGGAGTGACTGCCCTGAACCAGCCAATGGACGGGATGGCGAGTCACAGCCCCTGGAACAAGCATTGCACATGACAATAGCAGAACACTTGTATCTAAACCTATCGGGGGCTGTACCCCGGGTTAAACAGCCTCCTTTGCCCACGGCCCAGCACCCAGCAAAATCAGCTTCCACTCCATCCCCCTGCCCAGCTAGATGCCGCACAGACTCTACTGTCCATACTTGGGTGAGCCCAGCTGGTGCGTGTCCTCTGGTCTGGTGCTGACACACACTGTGAGCTCTGGAGGGGGAGTCGGTTACTGGGCTCAGCTGCACCCTCTCCTCTGCCAGCCTTAGCTGAATTCCAAACACTCCCTGCAACTTTGCCACCAGCCTCATGAATTCTGTGTTTTAAATCCTACGTTCTCCTTTTGCCTTCTAGTCTGCAAGAGTCGGGTCTAACTCGCCAAGACTGGCTGCCAGAAAGAGACGTAGCACAGCTCTGTGCTGGTACAGATGGGAATGTGCACGACACCTGTGTGTTCCCAGCAGTAAGATTGCAAGTAAGCGACAATGTCCGAGAAGCAGCATTTGTCCTGGTTTGCCTTTTCGGAAACACAGTCCTAGAGCAGTTTGGGAACAGCTTGTTCGTACCCTGCGGCATAGGAGCACCCTCATGAGACGGGTTGGATGGTGATGTGGTTCTGGATGAATCCATGCTGTGACGTAGTGGGGGGGAACTTGCTGGTTTCTATGGGTCTGTTGTAACCCCTCTGGCTGCCGCCGGTACCACAGACCAGAAGGACAGGGATAGGTCATTATGCAAAGGGATCTCTCAACGGGTCCGACCAGCTACCCCCCATGGGGAGGAACAAAGGAAGGTGGATGCTGCCCTGGCTGGGGGCAGGGCTAGAGGAGGGTTAGTTAGTTCCTGTCTGGAAAGCAGGGGAGAAGGAGCTGGGGAGGGGGCTGGGACTCCCCCTTCTCAAGGGGGGCACTGAGGCCTCTTAGCTCCAGTTCCTGTAACCTGGTGACATCTGTGCTGTGCTGTATTCTGGGGAGGCAATAAACTCCCTCTGTTCCACTCCCTCTGTTCCACTGGAGTCTGTTCGTGCCACTACGGGGGTGCAGGAGGCGGGGGACCCCAACGCGCCGTCACACTGGTGTCAGAAGTGGGATGCACTGCACCCCGTGGATGAAGCTCCCAGCGGCAAGCGACAAGGCGCCGTAGAAGCAAGGCTGTGCAGAGAGAGGGGCTTGCCTGTGCAGAAAGCAACCAAGGCCCAGCTGATTGCCCAGCTGGAAGAGAATGACCAGCCACGGGGCCAGGACCTTGTCCCCAGGAGAAGCAGCCAGACCCCTCCTGAGAGCGAGTCAGGCTCTGAGAGGGGGAGGAGCGCTGGAACCCACCGGAGAGATGAGACAGCTTCCCCCAGGAGGCCTGCA